TCGAGCTTGTAACACTCCAAAGGCTCGTTCATGATCTTTTTGATAACTCTCTTGCTTCTTGGTAAATAATTTGTGCTTAGCAGTTTGTGGGTGTTTGATTGCTGGGATAAATGTTGCCTGTTTTGGATAGATATTGTCTATAAATAATAACCCATATTGTATGTATTTCCGTTGACATTAAAGCTAACCTCTAGAGCTTGGCCCTCACATATATCAAAGAATACTGGTGACCGTTGGAGGAAATTTATATCATTACAAGAACCTGGTGTACCAAAAAAGACATGTCATATCCACAAGTCTTGTGAAGCAACTAGATCACGGTTGTTGTTTTACTTCTACGTTGATACATTCCTTTCCAAGCACGTGGACAAGTTTCCACTCCTAGTGCATGCAATCAATGCTTCCCATCATACCAATAAATCCACGACTATAACTTTCACGTAGGAGTCGTTCAGTATCCGTTGTATTCGCCCTCCTCAAGTACTCCGGTCCAAACTCAGAGACAACTCCTTCAACAAAGTGAGCGAGACATTCCCTTGCGGTACTTGATGCGAATTTAAGATATTCGTCAACTGCATCGGCTGATGTGTCGCGCGTATGCTAACATCCGAATTGCTGCAATGCATCATTTTTGGAGGGGGGATGCACCTAGTCTTCCGGTGGCATCCGACCTTTGTTGAAAGTAAACATCACTTTCGCTTAGTTGATTAACAATGCGTGTGAACACATTCTTACGCATCCGAAACCATCGGTGGAACATATCGTCTGTGTACAATGGTTGGGACTAAAGTAGTCATTATATAATTGTACATCAGCATATTCTCGATCTCTTGGTACATACCACCTTTGGTACGTAGGTTTAGGAGTGATGGGCGCCTGGTGAGTAGAGGTTACAAAGGGAACAACAGCTGTATTGATCGCTTCCTCGATCAATTCGTCTTCTTTTCGCCTTTGGGTAATTGGTTACCACTCTACATAGTCGTTGACCATGTAATCAAATAACCCTGAACTAGATGCACTAGAAGAATTTGAATCAGAGTTCATTTTGTAATATTTTTTGGTTAAGAGGAGGAGAGTTTTGTTGCAAAAATGATACTTATTTTTATGTTTTGAACCATGAAGTACAACCCCCTTATACATAACTTCTAAAATAATTCAAAACAAATAACTAGTGTTTATGATATATTGGTACAAAAGTATAAGATATATGATTTTCGATAAGGTTTATAGATTTTCTACATTTGTGATAAGGTTTATAGGTTTCTTTTGTAGGACATTTCAATTCATGGGTACACATAACAGTGAAAGATAAGATTTTCTGATGATGCATATAGATTTTCTGTCAACACATGTGACATTTCAATGTAGCATTATTGTAGGTCGGTCATATTTTACATATTTTCAAAAGTTACTACAGAACATTTTTCAATACGGAGTTGATATTAATAATTTAATTATTTGCAATAAATAATTTATGAGGTTAACAAAATTAGAGAATTAATAATAAAAACTTCAAATTCATTGCATTAAGAAAGAACTAACAACAAAATATTACAAAGGAAATTTAAAACAATAAAATTAAAGTAATATTACATCAATTAAAAATAGCATAATACATGGAGTTTAATTAACTTAATTGATATTTAAACTAACCCAAAAGATGTGCAAATTCTTACTTTAGTTTTACATAAATTTCATTTTCATCTTCAGATAGAATTGGTTTTGCAAGAAGGACACTAAATAGCTTGAACCTTTTTTCCTCCTATTTTTCTAAGCTTTGGCGGCATCTCGTTCCTTTTAATACTGTAGCATACGTTCCGCTACATCAATACGCCTCTCATCAACATCTTTATGTTGTCCTATAATCACATTCATCTCTGAAAGGGCTTGAGTAAAAGACTCTAAATTTTGAATTTTAGAACTACAACCATTTTGAATTCTTGAATTAACAGCAGATTTACCTTTTCTTTTCGTTGCTTTCACCCCATCTGGACGACGACGCAAGAACAAGTTTTTGGACCATCATCAGTTGGAGTATCTGAATCTGATCTTTCTGAATTGCCACCATCACTAGAAGGTATGTCTAGATCTACCGGCCTCCATTTGTCTAAGTCTCTCAACATCTCCCAACAGCTAATTAAACCAAAGCGTGAACCATTACACGTCCCACTATATATTTCATGAGCTTCAGTCATCTCATCATGAGTGTTGGTACCACACCTATACCTTTTTTCGCTTCATTATAGCAACCAACCCATGTACTCACATCTTTATTCTTCCCCACCGACTTTTTATAGATCTCAAAGTTCTTAGGCGTATGATGGATTGATTATTTTCTCTATCTTGATCATAAAGGGATTTTATGTTCCTCCACATTATGGCCAAACTTTGATCTGTTGCCGTCTCTGGATCTTCAACTGCACATTCTACCCAAGCAGAGACGAGTGTGTCATCTTCTTTTGCAATCCATTTTTTTGCCCTCCCACTTGTGTTGCTCCCACGCGGAGCTTCAACATCGTCATCATCAACAGCACCATCAACATCATCATCATCAGGTTGTTATGAAACCCTTGGATTCTCGGGTGGGGTTAAGTTACAAATTCTTTTTCCCTCAGGAGTTGTTGGACTATTTTGAATTATTTGATTCCCACCATAATGTTGTGACATTGGAAACATAAAACCATATGGTAAATTTTGCGGAATTTGTTGTAAATTTTGGTTTGAAAATTGGTCTGGGAATTGTGGGAAATTTTGGTTTGAAAATTGATTTGGAAATTGTTGTACAAATTGTTGGTTTGGATGCGTTGGTTGGCTAGGAATGTTATAAAATAACATCCTTTGAGCATTTGGATTAGTAAGGTTACTTGGATCAAAATGAAAATTACTTTGAAAATTCGAAGAATTGGAAGTTTTGTAGTTTGAATTATTTTGAGATGAACCACTTCTATAATTAGGATTATTAAGATCCATAATCTGAAAATATTTTAGCAATAAAAAAAGAAGGGTAAAATTTTTAGTATGAAAAACTATATCAATATTAGGCTCTATTTATAGATAAAATTATAAGTAGGTCACTGGTGCAATTATTTTTTGAAAAAAAATTAAAAGCCTTGTATATTTCACCGTAACAAATATTATCGTTGTAAAAATAAAAGTGCAAAAACTAGCCGTAATTCAATGAATTCAAATATTGCTTTGAAGGTGACATTTATCATGTTTCTATTGGATAATAGCAAAAAAAAAAAGTAACTTGTGGGTCAGTTACTCATTAGTGGGGCATTCTCCTTACTATGGGTAACTTGTGACTCACTTTCCACAATGATGAGTTAACTCACAAAGAGGAGAGAGAGTGTTGCGAGTAGGGTTCTAACTCACCATTGCTCATGTTCTAATACTCCATCCAAAATATTTAAGCATTTCTCTCTCTTTTATGGTCCCCACTAAAATAATTAGGGGCCGTTTGATTCGAACGAGGGAATCGGAATGGAATGAACAAAGGGAAAGAAGAAGAATGGAATGAAAATACCCTATTTTTGCTTTGTTGTTTGTTTTTAAAACAAAGAGAATCATTCCCCCACCACACCACCACCACAACAACCACCAACATTTCATCAATTTTTCACTTCCCACCATTTCCAGCCACTGCTGCACCTTCTCCACCACTCGCCGCCTTTCACCGTACCTCCCCCTCCCCTCGCCGCGCCAGCCCCGATCTCCCCTCCCCCAAAAAAACCAGCCCTAGCCCCGAAAACCCTAGCCCCAATCTCCCTCTCCCCCGAAATCGTCGCCTGACCCTCCCACCACCATCAAAACCCTAGCCGCTAGGGTTTCGAGGGTGGTGGGAGGGCCAGGCGACGGTTTCGGGGGAGAGGGAGATCGGGGCTAGGGTTTTCGAGGCTAGGGGTGGTTTTTGCGGGGCTATGGGTAGTTTTTTTTTTTTGGGGGGGGGGGGAGGGGTACAACGGTGGTTGGGGGAGGCTCGGCGGTGGTCGGGGGAGGTGCAGCGGTGGTTGGGGGAGGCTCGGCGGTGGTCGGGGGAGGGGCGGCGGTGGTCGAGGGAAGGGGCGGCGGTGGTCTGGGCTGGTTTTCCGGTGGTGTTGGTAGGTGTGAAGGTGGTGATGTGGTGGTGTGAAGGTGGGTAGGGAATGGGAAAGTCTAGGGGGTGGGGAATGAAGTTGGAAGGATTTGGGGTAATGAGGAGGGTAAAGGGAATGATTAAAAGTGTAAAACAAACATCAACAAAGGGAATCGAGCTAGTTGATTTCCATTCCCTTTCTTGATTACCCCCAACCAAACGGCCCCTTATATAAATCAATCTCTCTCACATACTATTTATTTCATGACATACATTGTACTTTTATCAAAATAAATTAATCACCCACTTGCCCCACTTGCACAATATAATATTAAAGCAAATTACTTTCCTAAAACTCCGTGTAAATACATCAAGTGATGCATTTAAAAAAAAGGGAATAAGTACTATATTAGCTCACATTTAACAATGTGCTATATTGTAGGTATACTTTTACCCTGTCTCTCTTACTTTACTTTAATTTCCAATGAAAAAAAGTTGAAAAGGTGAAGTGACGTATCAAAAAGTAGAATGGATTGTATCATAGTAGGACACTGTTTTTAAATGTGTTCAAGACGTATGTGTCGAACAAGTGGTGATATCGAACACAAACACAACTTTTGGGTGAAGTGTTCATTGTGTCGTACTCGCAACTTAGCAATTATGGTTTGTGGTTAAGTGTGCATTCTCCTGATTAAATGTGCATTCTCCTGATTAAATCTAATTACCCTTGATTTTCATGTAATATGTAAAATTATCCACCTTTTATTTTTATTCAAGGGACCCGACTTGACCGACATATTTGTTCATTTAAAACTTTGACTAATAATACCTTTAATTATCAATAACTTTAGATTTAAATTATAAAAAATTATTTTTGTTTTTAAAATCATCCATTGAGACTGATTTTAGCAAGTACTGATATGATTATATATAATCTCATGTATGACGTACAAACATTGGTCGAAAAGGTGCATATAAATAGTGTCAAAGTCAATACTAAACACTTAAATAAAAATGAAGGGTGTGTTTCTCTAAGGCAAATAGGACTTGCCCTAAAAACTACGAGTAATATTAATCACAAAATAACCAAGTTAGACTAATAATTCAGACATTCTAGGTCTACCCTTCCTAAACACAAACTAGTGTACTGTAAAAGATGGAAGCATACAATAATTGAACTTCCAGTCATCATACCTAAGTACTAAATGACAACCTTCTCTGGGCAGTGAGCTTCAACAGATATAAATACATAGTTAGCTTGAACTATCCCAGAATTTGTTTGCATCAAAAGGAGGTTCCAACTAATCTTGCCATACAAAGCGGTAGATATTTCTACTAGCAGCAGCACTGACTGCACCCTCACTTTTCTTCATCAGCAACTCCTGCTGCGCAACAATATCCTTATCCTTATCCTTGCAGAACAGAGAAAGGCGAAAGTAATCCATTAACAAGTGTTGGCCTTAATCACCAATCATAAAGACACAAATTTAAGAAGTGCAGCTATCAGGCGTATCATAAATCAGTATTAAGTGATAATGACAATATACTCACATGTATGCAATTGAATATGTTTATGGGTTCGAGTCTTTTAACTAGAACATATCATGCACAACATAACCGAATATGGATCAGAATTAACAAAAACAAAGGAAAACTACTCACTAAATCAGCATATGCATGAGCAAGAGAGAAGAGAGTAGGATAACATTCCAAGACAACCATGGCAACCTCCTCAGTCACCTGAGGAACCTGCAAAACCATAGAAGAGTAATTCTAGATGGTAGGGAGGGGCAGCTCAGTTGATAATATAGACAATCTACATTGCTGAAAACGAAAACTTGAACTTCTGAATTAAAAATAAAAAAGGTCTGAGCTACAGCCAAACCCACCTGCATGAGCTGTATGGCAAAAACATCACTAACTGTCAGCTTATCAGCATCTTCACATGTTTTGATAAACTTGTTATACTTGGGACAAACACCTGCGGTTTTGCATCCTTCAGCTGATGAAATCAGTTTATAGTGATCAGTAATTGCCAGAGTTAAACAGCCATATCGGTGAAGAGTATCAACCAGGCTTGTTGTTCTTTGCACATCAAACCCCTCCAAGATCTCTGTAGTAAAGCAACTAAAGAAGACCACAAATAGGAAACAGTTGTCAGCACTTTCATAGATAATTTAGCAGTTAAACTTAGGAGATATTACCTCCAGAAAATTATAATGAAGTAAAACATAAAGAAAACTATAATCATGCAAAACATGAATGAAAATTATAGACCACATCAGCGCAGGAACAACCAATGAGTAAAACAGTTCAAAGTCACTTCTTTTATTTTATATAAATGCAACTTTCACTACAAAGGTGCAATATAACTTCTAATAGCATAGAATAGCACCCTTTTTTATAAAATAGATGGATAAAATAGCAACAACTCAGTGACCATAATTAATATTCTTATAGGAAAGTAACCATTGTTGATGAAGCTTCACATGTAGCTGAAGATGCTGTGACGTTCCTCTCAGAAAACCAAAAGGCCAGTGAATTCTCAATCAAGGTTATTCTGTAGATCCAAGAAATTTAATATTTTGCTATCTTCTTCTCTTCTTGTTATAATGTGGAAATGCAATGAGCAATTCTGCTTTGAACTAGACAACCCAGATTAGTTGTCTATCCAAGCTACACTCCAATATTCAATGTTCATGCAGTTTTCAGTCTTGCCATACAGCCAAAGTCTTTATTAATGAAAAAAAAAAATAAAAAAAATAAAGGTAACCCATCCAATACCCCTGCCAAATTCATCTATGGCCTGGCAATCAGCTGCTCACTTGTAGTGGAGGAGAAGGACAATTATGCTATATACATAGATGCACATTCTAGGATATGCAGAAATGCACATAGAAATATAGAATGATAAATTCTTACGCAGTTTTAATGCTATCAGCTCCTTCACAAGCATTAGGATCACCTTCCACCAAATATATAATCTTCTTCATTCCAGTTCTCTGAAAGAACAGTTAAGTTCCAGAAGCATGAGAACAAGATCAAATAACCCAAAAGCTGAAGAAAATATTTGCATAATTATATATTCTAAAATAAATTGTTATGCTACGTGGCTTAGGGAATTATATAATACCAGGATAATCAGAGTTCTTAAAAAGAATCATATGATGAATTAAGAAACCAAAGATAGGCAAAAGTGAAACAGAAAGAGAAGATTCTAACGAGATTGCAAACAAAAGAGAATCACCAGAAAATCAATAGACAGGTGGAATGGTTCTGATATTGATAGTTCCTATAGGAAGAATGCAGGATACCAACCAAAGCTTCTCTTTAAGGAAATTGCTCTTAAACATTCCAAAAGTTCTTAAAACTGTCTATATTATTTTTACTTTTTTACAGGAAAAATATAATGGAAGATTTTGAAAGGATGAATATTAAAAACAAGCCACAGACACCATCTTTTCAGGCCACGGATTATCATTAGTTAGGTATATAATTAGAGATCTCAAACTAACATAGAATAGACTACAACAGGATTCACATCATAAAGCCAATTTGGAAGACAGATTAAAGCATGGATTCAACTTCTGAATCACTCTCAAAGATACAAGAAAAAAAAATCTAAATACAAAGACACATTCTAAAATTTGTCAAGAGTAATTGAAAAAAATGATACACAAGCATATATTTGGAGAAAGCATAATTTATCAACTTAACTTCAAATGAATTCTAAAAACCACATTATATCTCAATTCTCATTAATAAACTTGACATATTTAAGACTCCTGCAAGGAAAAACACTTACAATTTATTTAAACTAAATAGCTGGATAACTATGTGACAAATCATTTATGATGAGGACCTCAAATTGTTACTTTGCCCCCTGTTCAACTCCTAAGATAAAAGCTGAACATATAATCAGCTCAGCTGCAAATTGAATCTAGTCATACACTTGAATAAAATATTGTAACATCATTACAAAAATTAGACATTCAAAATTCCAAAACAAACCAAAATGCATCACGCCACGAAGTACACTCTGCACATTATGACCTAAATCAAGCACAATTGATCTGACTAAGAGGAAAGAGTTTTAATGACCTTAATGAAAACAATGATTGGAAAAACTTACTAAGAAAACATAGTTTCATAATCACAACCCGCCACGGAATCATGAGAACCTTAAAGGTTTAGTTCTTTAGACTGAATACCTGAAGTCTCAACTTCTGATCCCTGTAGCGGTTATCTCTTATTGAACTACGTAGGTCATCAACATTTTTCCTCTCAACAATGAAATCAAGAACATATTCAGTGGAATCTTTTTTATGACGTGCAATCCAGATAGCATCTCCAACGGGCAAACGTCTGACCTGCAGGAATATCAGCAGCACCAGTCAAATGAACCGGCATCTTTGGGGCTTGCAAAGATCACTTCAAATATCTATGCATCTTACTTACAAATTATCTCTACGGTCCATTAATGGGAGGTCAGAAAATTTTTGAGACACACCCAATTAAGAAAAATGTCCAAATCCATTTCAAGTGACTTTCAGCTGATTGTAGTAAAAGCTACAAGTTGACCTTGTGCTTTTTATTATACCCAGAGAAATATAGAAATGAAAGAGGAGAAAAAAGATGCACCAAGAGTGGAAATTTACGTCCACAACATTCTCCAGAATTATCTAGCTAATAATAAAATTTATAGGACTGCATTCGAGCATACTGACACAAGCTCAAACTACCACTTAATCACCTACCAATGGTGTCATTTATAAACTTCCTTATTTACTTTTAAGTTTTGACTGCTCCACAATTCTTGATCAATAAGACCTATCAGCTCAATTACCAAGACGAGCAAAAAACTAGAAAAATACGGTCATTACTTCATTTATTCCAATCTTTTAAAGTACTGCTTGTATAAAGAGATGCAAATCATGCAATTAGTACTGTTAAACTATCTTTGATAACTATTCATCATCAAAAGATGACTAACTAGGTTAAATGGAAAATAGTGAATTAGAAAACCCAAACAATAAAAATGATGTAATTTTGTAAGAGGGTGTAATCTCAGAACATCTGAAGTGAGAAAAAGACCAAGTTTTATGACAGTAGGACAAAAATATAGAAATATTAAGAAGCAAACATTTACCTCTATTTGAATTTTATATTCCTCAAAGATCTTTTCTTTAAGATTTCTTGACTTTGTCCTGAAACCAGATAAGACAAATCAGACTAACAAACAGCAAGTACACAAATCATATCATTAAGAAGCTAGGAAGACATCAGCAATGAGGCTACAGTATATATGCATGTCTACTACTAAATTACCCTCCCACAGAAGAAGAAGAAAAAAAAAACATTATGAGAAAAATAATTTATTTGGAAATTGTGTTCTCTTCATTTGAGTTTCACTTATCTTATTTCTTATAGACTTATACTTCATTTCTTTTTACTTGCAACACTTCTCATTTCACGCTCACCAATGCATTATTTCATTCACGAATGAGGCAAATTTAACTAACTCCCACATGACTATTTTTCTTAAACTATAGATCATTCAAACAAGTTAAAGAAGAGTATATGAACAGTGCATAAGTCAAAGGGTTGCGAGTAAAAAGAAATGGAGGATGTATTGTCTCATCTGATTAGCCTTAAACCTATCTTTATCTAAACGTATTAACCCTTATCTTATTTAAACTTATTAGTCCATACATATAATATCTTATTTTATACAGTATTATCTAATTCAACCTTATTAGAGCTTATAATGAAGTTTTATTATACCTTATTGAACCTTATTAACCTTAAATTGATATTATCTTAACTTTCCAATTCTTGTCTAATTTTATCTTATCTGGATTTGTTAGCCCTTATATTACCTTATGTTATCTAAATTTATAGGCATTATCTTACAGAAACTTAACTTAATAGCTTTCAGATAAGTAAAACTAAGATGAGGAGAACAGAGCCTTAATATTAATGACTAATGACCAATAATTCCATCATGAAAGTACAACATACAATCAAAAGGAAGAAAGAAGCCAGAACCACCACGTTGTGAAAGTAAAACGAAATTGAAATTGTATAGGAATGAATACAGTCACAGCCCGAAGTATACAAAAGAGATAGTGACCCACTTGGCAAAGTGTTCTCGGTCATCCAAAATCAAGACGATTTCGTATGTATCTTCGAACTTCTGCAGTACTTCAAGTGGTGGCAGTCTAAGATCAACTGGACTGGTTTGGCAAGCAGGTTGACTAGCCTTTTTTCCCTGAGAATCCTAAAACATTTTCAAATAGAAAAGGTGATGAAAACCAAATTCACAAAATTAGTATATCCAAAGTAGCAACAGAATTTCCATAGAGCCAATAGAAACCAAATGTAGCAAAAAGAAAATATGCCTCCTCAAATTTTAATAATTCCAGACGTGCAGCCCATCCACTTCAAACAGACATAAACACACTTTCCAAATATAATCCAAAATTCAGAAGGAAAAACGCAGCATGAAGGATTAAGCTAGTTGCTTGCTTTTAATTTCTAATATTTTTTTAGAGATAAACATGAATGTGCAATTGGCAGCTTTCAGCAATCCTCTACAAAAAAAAGGAAAATTCGTTGATTACTGACCAAGGTTGATGAGGAAGTAAGACCATTATGATTAACTACACCAGTCACCTTTTGTTCACCTTCAGCATGAAAGAAAATGGAGGAAAAATATAAACAAAAATGACAGTGAAATTTGATTTCTGAATTAATACGGATGCAAAAAAGATCAATGATATAAATTATCCAAAATCCAAGACTTATGGTATGGCTTATTATGGCCCTTTACCCTCAACATATCTACAGCTAGTAGATGCATCATCAGAATTTCTTCTTCCAGTTGGCTGAGGATCAGAGTGAAGACCATAAACTTCATTTTCTCGCAGTTGGCAAAGAACTGTGGGTCAGATTGTAGATAATTCTTGGGTTGGCGAACATACAGAAACTTCAGCTAAAGCATGTAAAACTTGTTCACTTGTGTAGCCCAAGGTTGTGAACTACAAATGCAAGATTACAGAAGAAATACACATTATTTCTTTTGCTGAAAACAATAGGCAGCCAACCTTTTTTTTTTTGTTAGGTGGAGGGAGGGGTTGTCAAGTATTATGCTTTACACTTGCATCCAAAACTTCAATCATGAATTATCATATAACATAGCACATAAAACACAAAATCAAGATTCACAGAAAAAACAAAGCTATTACTGGTGATCTTCAACCTTAGAGTCAATACGCAAAAACATAGCTAAGCCTCCATCACAAAATTATAGTAGTGACAAAAGAAGATTTTGACTTATGAATTCATCAAATAGAAAATGAAGATACACAAAATATCGACTTTCTGAGAAAATCATAAAACCATCAATCCTCCATGTTCATGAGCAAATAACAAAGTTATAATGCTCATTAATGAGCCTGAAAGTTGTTTTCACAGTCCATGTAAAATAATTTATGCAACTTTGCTTTCATAAGTTTGGATTTATGGTACTCTTAAGCAAGTGTATATGAAGCTTTTTACAGTTAATTATCATAAATTCTCCTCTTTTATTTTTAGTTCAACCACTTTTTTTAGGCTACTATATTAAGAACTTGTTCTTTTCAACTTATTTCATTAACTTATTATTTATACTTACAAGAACCAAACAAGATCAAATCAGACTAAAAAAACAAAAATCAAACTAGAAGTTCTAATATTTGTTTACTTACGCATTGGGACAAATCTAACGGGATACATTGATGTAAAAATGTTTATTCAGACCATGAAACAAGATCAAATCAGACCAAAAATCTGAAAATGATAGAACCAATGTCAAACATCCCTACAATATATGGTCAAACTAAAACAGAACAAAGAAAGTACAAAAAAAAAAAAAACAAAGCAAATTACTTGTCATCACAATAATTAGATTATTTAGATTAAGGTTATAGTTCAATGATATAGTAATTTCAATTAATGAGCTATTGGTAAGACTAATAATAACTAGGGTTTCAAAGCACTGTGACATTTACAAGTCCCCAAACAAAAGGGAGAATCAACGAAAAGGAAAAGGGATATAGACAAGAAATTAGAATATCTATGTGCATTTGCAAAACTGTACCTTTTTCAACAATATATTAATATAATTTTCTAAGGTCTTTTTATTTCACCCTTAAAAAAATCGTGAAAAAATTAAAAACGTGAAAAATAAGTTCTAATAAGGACCAATAATGGCAATAAGGGGTACCAAATTCATTTTACAACTAAACTTAAGCTCATTCAATTTGCTAGGATTTAGCACAGAACAGAGTAGTCAAAGCAAAGAAAACAGAGTAACAATGGCAGCCAAGGGATAGTTGTATTGCAAATCAAAGTAACTTACAATACACGCCTTCTTTCGAGAGGAAGGTTCTCTCCACAACAAACTTCTTAACAAATTTTTGCATGCATTTCCCTTGACCCCAATTCCCTATTAATACCCAAAACTGAAGCAAGCAACCGACTCTAGAAGCTGCCAGCAAAAGGAATCAAATAACAAACTCCATAACTAATTTATTTATGGATTACTATTTTACCCTCTCCCATCCAAAACTGATTTTCTAACAAAATTCCCTTCTCAAGCATTGCTAACATTCTTGGGCCTCCTTGCATAAGTGAAGCGGATACTAGGCCTAGTCTGATTCCTTGCACAAGCCAATATATTATATCATATTTTTTCAAGTAAAAAGAATGTACTCCAAGACAATCAAAATAAAGATAATTAATATAGAACTCCATGTGTCCTGCAATATATTTCTTCATAGGAAATAGCAGAATTTTAAAGAGTTTCTTTCTTTGGTGGGACATGTAATTCCTTGTGGAATAAAAAGGTACACAGATTGAAGATAGTGGGTAATTTTATGTAGAGGAAAGAGAGAGTAAGAATATGTTATTGGAAAGAGTGTGTAGATTTAAATTTAAGGAGCATAATATGCAGCATGCAAGGAGTAGGTGCCTCCAAATGAATTTCAACTAATGCGCACAACCTAATATTCCACACGTTTGCAGTATCCTACGTAGAATGAACCTCAACTATGTTGACTGCAATTTCACCTCAAAAGACTTTTCACACTTTTACTGATAAGTCATGCAAAAAGATGCCACTGTATAAGTTATTACTGCCAAGAGTGCCAACATTATCACCATGACTACAACTAATTACATAATACTAACAAATCCGGACCAAAGAAAGTGATGAAAGGTAATATATACGGAGGCAATGCACCAAAGACCTTACAGTTATGAATGTGATATAATTTTGATATCTTTGAGTGAGAAGTAAAATCCAAATGAGATTAATAAAATGTACCCTCTCAAGAAACTCCAAAGGAATATCATCTTTCATGCCCTTGTTCTGATGAGGAGATGTGGGTGAAACAGTAGCTACAAGCTCCATAATCTCTTCTTCGTCATCTGAAATTGAAGCTTCTTCTGTGTTGCTAACATTTGCAGCAGAATCAAGCATACCTGATCGAGACAAACACTCGAGCGCTACTTCACGACCCTTGTCAGATAACATATATCTGTACAATAGAGATTTTTTTAATACTCCCAAACAAATTCTGCCTAGGAGTCCAATCAGTCCATGTCATGACCTTTATTGCACATAATATGAAATAGAGGCAGTAATAAAAAAAATATAATTAAAAAAAAAAAAAAGTGTACAACAAAGTTACAAAAGTGAACAGTCCCCACTAATATAGTTAGTAGTAAAGTAATTTCACCTTATAGATTTTCATTACAGAAAAATGATGCATGTATTGTAAAACGTCCTAAAACAAAATACTCGTATATTTCATGAATAGAGAAATGATAAATTATTTCCTTACTATACCCAAACTATTGTTTCAAATTTTTTAGTAATAACTAAAAATAATATTTGACATTCCTAAAAAAAATAGGCAGCTAAAAAACCAAGAACCCAAGCAAGCCACGCCAATATGCTTTCCTAACAGTTTAACATTGCCTTGTGCAAAAGTTCATAACATAGCCAGCTTACTTTTGTGCTTCTTTCTCAGCTTTACTTCGTTCTTTCTTTAAACAATATTTTGCCCAGAACCTTCAGGGCCCAACTACTACATTCCTCACACTTATTCGACTTTCAGGTTTCAACTCTAACACAAGTACACATTAAGTTTAAATTGCATTTGAATGCCAATTATTATACTAATCATATTTTAGATGCCTATATCTAGAAAGAAAGTCAAATGCCAATGCAAAAGGGGCCATTCAACATTCAAGGCTATACAGCTGCACATGTGTGTGCAGCACAAGCATTAAGACAATTGCAACAATACATGTCATATCACAGTCTTATAGAATACAGTAAACATGATAGTAATGAAAAAATTCACAAGACTATCCATTTCCACAGGGACAACTACAAAAATGATGAATTATTTCCAAGACAAAAACATCACATACAAACATCAGCTAGTTTTCTGCTTCATTACTAGAGCACTTAAAAAGAATTGACTAAGACCCTAAGAGAAGCTATGCAAATTCATATTTACATAAAATAAGCATAGTAAATACATATGACTAATTGCAAGGAATAAAAGAATAGAAGCCATACTTTGCCGGACAACTGTTCTTATATACAAGATCTTTGTCAACCAATGTCGTCATTGCACTCCATCCACTATACCAATCCCTAGGGGAACTACCAAATTGCTTCTGCTTACCTCTGCCTGCTTCTGGCCTAAGTACATACCAAATGAACCATAAGGTTAGATGTCTTTCATTAATAGCCATCCAAGAGTAAATTCAGCATAAACCAGACATAAGGATTAAGGAGTATCAATAGTTTACAAAACAAGAAAAATAGAAACAGGGTATTCAGATCATCGTACGCTATTGGCACTCGTGAGAGACCACTAGCTTCAGCTGTATCAATCAGCTCTTGCTTATGCATAAATTCTTTTCCATTAGTAGTTGCCCTGATGAGGAAAAACACAGGAAGTAAGTCTACTTTGCAATAATATACTAAAAGCTCAATAAATTCCACTTATCTCTTTATTAATTTAGAATGAAAACCAAACAAATTTTAAGGCTACATTTTTAAAAAGGAAAAAAATGTTTTCATTTTCCTTTGTTTTGTATTGTTAAGAAGTGGAACACAATTTTTCTAAAACTTTTCCATGGTGGATAACATTTTCCTTTTGTAAAGAAGGAATGTTACATTCGGCTCATTTACATCTTTTTTTGGCTCCTCACATCCATCCTCTCCTTTTCCACTTCCATTTCCGTTTTCCTTAACTTTTCTTTAACAAAACTAACAAAGGCGAAACCCTTTTACAATTGTGTTTACTCTTGATCATTATTTTCCATGAAAAATGAATTTTGATTGAAAATGGTTTCCATTAGAACAAACAAAGCCTTAGAAGAAAATCAATCCTTTCCAACAACAATGTGAATATTATAGTATGGCTAGCAAAATCTAAGAAATCAAATAACTAACAAAGTTAGTTTCCAAGAGCATTCTAATATATCAAAAGTAAGTCCATACCTATGTAAAGAGATCAACAATGCATAAGCAACAGAGTTTTTATGTGGTATATACCTTCTGGGGGCTTTAGCCTTCTTACCTGGATCATTCAATAAAATTAATAAGCAATGTCCTCTCTATATAGTTAGAAATTTATCAACAGAACTCACACCAATATTCAACAAAAAAAAAAAAAAAAAAAAAAAAAAAAAAAAAAAAGGCTGAAAAAGAACGCAGTACCTCCATTCGCCAAATTATCATCTTGAGAAGCATTAGAATTACTGTTGAAAAATCCTTGCATCTCATTCGCAAGCCACTTCCCAATACCCCTAGCCAATTATTTTAACAAAAAATGACAACACAAGTATTAAGAGGGGAAAAGCAAACAAAGTATTGTCAAAAATTTAACTTCACCCCATTAATTTTACCCTAACTAACCCATTCATGAAATTAAACTTCACACATCCCTAATTTCCTTTGGCTAAAATCCATTCATGAAATGAAACTAAACCTGCCTCAAAATCTCACCTAACTAAATCATTCATGAAATGAAACTTAACCCGCCGCAAAATCTCACCTAACTAAATCATTCATGAAATGAAACTTAACCCGCCGCAAAATCTCACCTAACTAAATCATTCATGAAATGAAACTTAACCCGCCTCGAAATTTCACCCTAACCAAGACCATTCATGAAATGAAACTTAACCCAACTCAAAATGTTCACCCTAACTAGAACCATTCATGAAATTAAACATCACCCACCTCTAAATTTTACCCTAACTAAAACCATTCATGAAATTAAACATCACCCACCTCCAAATTTTACCCTAACTAAAACCATTCATGAAATCATACATTTAAACAAAACCAAGTCCCAAAATTCACTCAAACTAACACCATTCATGAAATTATCCATCACCCACCTCCAAATTTCACCCAAACTAACCACCATTCCTAAATTTAAACTTCAATTATCAAAATTCCAGTAAGCAAACAGTAATTATAACAAAATTAGACAGAAATTTGAGATCAACAAAAAGATAAAACTCACTTAATTGCTTTAAATTCCTTGAGAGTAGTAATGGGGGCTTTATGATCACAAACACTAATGAGAGCTTTTTTAACAGTTTTCTCAATATTTTGGGTATGAGCTTGGGGATTTTTCTCCATCCTTTCATTCCGCCATTGTCGCATGTACGCAACCAGCGCATCGTTCTCTTCACACACTGGTCTCTTCTCAATCGCCATTTTCGTCGAGGAGAGAGAAAGATTTGATCAGAAATTTGGTGGAGTTTTTGTAAATTGTTAGGGTTTTATGGAAATTAATTTGGGGTTTTTATATTCATGTTTTTGTAGAGCGAAAAAAACCCCGCTATTTTCTATCTTAATAATTTCAAATGAAAACATTTATTTGTTATAATTTTTATATCAATGGAAAATTAGACATGCAAGTCTGGGTGGTGTAGTCGGTTATCACGCTAGTCTCACACACTAGAGGTCCCCGGTTCGAACCCGGGCTCAGACATCTTTAGAGTTTTTTAAATATTATGTTAATTTTAATTTTTTTTTTTTTGAAGAAATATGTTATTTTTAATTTGTTCTTTCTTGTTCTTGACAATTTTTTTTTAACATATCTTAATTAAATTTTAACGGAGTGATTTTCCTAAAAATTGTTTAAACAAGCAAAAAAATCCACAATAACTATACTTCCTTACATACCGTCGATGTCAAACAAAAATAAATAAATATAGAAAAAAAAACAAATTTTTTTAATTAAACCCCAGTGAAAGCACTAATTTTGTAATTTTTACATGATCTGAATTGTATTAAAATCTAAATTGAATAAATGTATGTGTTCTATAGTTTTTTTCTTAAAATTTTAAATTAAAGTAGGCCGAGTGAAAATAGAATAAGGCTATGTATGTGATGTTAGTTTATTTTCCATAAGTTAAACATTAGAATTCGTTTATTTTCTTATGATTTTCCACTTCTCTCCTCTTTGGTATTGTACAATTTAAATGGAGTTTTTGTCCAATACTCCAATATATTTTGGGTCTATTCTACAAGATAAGGTATTCTTTGTTTAATTTCACTCTAATTATAAATCAATATTTTCAATTTGTATTTTTTTTCAATGGACTATGAAATGAAGTTTAATTTTGTATTTTCTATTGTTTACTTGTAGCTTACTATGTAGATAGATTCATCATCACTTTGTATTTTTTCGTGTGATAATTTTATTTTGGATTAATTGATTTTACAAAAGGTTTTGTGTGAGACCTGACTCACATGAGACCGGGCTCAATAACAAAAGTCTAACAAAAAAGTGTGGGCTAACAAAACCCGAACGCGAGGCCCGCAACACCAAATACATGACATGACAGTGATATTCTAATACTTGACAATAATATTCTTATACATGACACTAATATTTTAATACCTGACAATAATATTCTATTACATGACAATAATATTCTAATACCTGACAATAAAATTCTTATACATGACACTAATATTTTAATATTTGACAATAATATTCTAATACATGAAAGTAATATTTTAATATCTGACACTAATATTCTTATACCTGACTAAAATGGTCTTATTCCTAATAAAAATTATCTTATTCCTTACTAAAATTATCTTATTCCTAACTAAAATAATCTTATTCTTGACTAAAATTTTCTAATTCATGACAAATATAAACAATATTTATATTAATCTAATACTGACAATACTAATCTAATACCTGACAATAAACATTTAATACCAAACAATAAACATTTAATACCTGACATTATTTTCTCCTTCCCCACTGACCTCTTCTTCCATGGCTACAATATTTTTCTCTCCTCATTACATCATTGGAAACCCCTCCAAATTGGGATTTCCCACATTAAATCAAATTGGAAGTGGGTAACGAGAATACTTCTCAGTCTCAGAGAAGATTCTAGAATGAAACATTGGAGTATAAGCAGAGCTCCATACTTGCGGCAAAGCATCCTAAACGAAAGCTCAGAGCAATCAACCATGGTCCATGGGAGCAACTATCAATTTAGGCCGACCCAACTTCTTCTAATGGGCCCAAGCCCGACACTGTGAGTTGGGATTTGTTGGAAGAAACTTTTGAAGAGCTTAAGTTTCCTACAGCTTTTATTAATTTCAGATACGAAGTCCAATCAAATCAGTGAATATCGGCCAATCTGTCACCAACTTACTTAAACAACCTAAAGGCGGTAGCGTGTAGTTAGAGTAGCCATGAATGAGAGCTTTGGAAGTTGAACAATGTGATGGTTATGGCGGAGGAGAGAGAATCTCATTATCAGATCATTGCTTGCCGACAGTTTCTTGTTGCGGGGGAAAGCAGCGGTGGTGGAGGAAGAAGGTGGAAGTGGGTAACGAGGTGATAATGATTGAATTTGGATTTTAGTGAGAGTTGGTGAATGAATGGTGTTGTGAGTGTTGGTAGCGGACTCATGGTGAATCCGTCTCACCCAAAACTTTACCTTGATTTTATATTTTTTGACTTTGAGATTGCATGATATAACTATATTGTCCATTTTTTATCAATTAAGTTGTTGTCATTTTCAATTGTACATTTTTGCATTATAATTAAAATTCATAGTTTATACTTCTTATAATTGTGCCAATCCTGTTTTAAAATCATGGATACTAGCACCAACTTGATAACACCCTAAGTTTACCAAGTCACAATTCTTAAATTAGATTATTTTATAATATAAGAAACATTCTAGATATTAATTTCATTCTCAATAGTATGATAGTATCATAACCATTCAAATTAAAATAAATTTGTTTTCAATAAAGTCTACTAATGTACAACCAACATATAATAAGATAAAATAAATTATTAAATGTCAATGCATTTGAACCTCAAGTGATGATACAATAAATTAACAACGTAGCAAATCCACTTTTCTTACATTGGTATTCCATTTCCTTCATTCCAAGAATGAAGAATTAACAAGGGCAATTGAGCATGTATGTTTTTTACTATTCTTTAAGTAAATATCTTCTTAAACATGCCACTTCAAGCAAAATTGCAACTCAAATCGAGGATGATGTTGAAATTCTTTCATAAATAAATATGACTTATCTTATTTATTTATGAAAGAATTGAATAATATAACAATTACGGAGTATATATTTTCATACGAACAAGGTAAGTAGAATGAGACTCGATTAGAACTACACGTCATTAGTGTGTATTGGTGAGCTATATAAGAATATTGTAGTATATAATTATCTTGGGTGTTGACTTCTTAATTCTTATTTACTTAGTCAATTGGCCTTTAAACATTAGAATATATATCATCTTAGCATGTTTGCTACTTGCCTCATTTACAGTTCATTTTACATCACTTCTAAATAAAATTATAATTTCCAAATTCCAATTAATACAACAAAGTACATGCCATTATATAAAATAATGCTCCAAATCTACAAAGTCTTCTATAGAACGTGGAGAATTATGTTCTAGAACGCAAGTTAAATTCCACAACTTCACAACACAGCAAATGTTCATGCCAACATTGTTAATATATTGTACCTAAAAATTCTACTTATCTTAGTTAGATTTAAACTTACAGAAGTTCCTAGCTAAATTTTCGACTCAAAGCGAAGATTTATAAGTTACTACATTACCTAAAAACATGAAGGTGAGTTAATAATTTCTTGTTCAGCTACTAATTCGTTACAAGATGTACTTGTGTACTTTTTTTTTTCCTATGTATTAATTCGATAGAAGTTGATTCAATGATCGTAAATATGAATTTATTTTCAGCAAAAGATTGTAGTTAAAGTACAAATGCGGTGTGGAAAATGCAGGAAAAAGGCGATGAAGATTGCTGCTAGTGCAGAAGGTACGATTTCTTACTCCGTCTAATGGTCTTATACGGTGGATCATGTAAAAATTTACCAAAGGAATTCTGTTCTGCAATGTGATGCAGGGGTGATATCAGTAGCGATACAGGGGAACGACAAGGACGAGATTGTTGTGATAGGAAACCGGGTGGATTCAGCAGGTTTATGCACGGCGTTAAGGAGGAAATTAGGGGATGCAAACTTGGTGAGTGTAGAAGAAATCAAAGATCCAAAGCCGGAAGAAAAGAAGAAAGACGAAAAACCCGAAGAAAAGAAACCAGCAGCAGCAACTGCAGAGGAGAAAAAAGTCCAAAAGAAATTTGAAATTCATCATTGATAAAGTGGGAGGAAAGCTATCCTCTTGGAAGTCCAACATGCTTTCAAAAGCCAGGAAAGCAATTCTCATTCTAGCCACCCTTCAATCAATTCCCGAATACTACATGCAAGTGCTCCCCTTTCCCAAATCCATTTGCAAAAAGTTGGACTCCATATGTTTAAACTTCTTATGGGGGAGCTCAAATGAGTCCAAAAAACTCACCTGGATATCTTGGGATAAAGTTTGTCATTCCAAGAATGAAGGGGGTTAGGCTTTACTAAGCATGAACATATCAATACTATCTCCCTAACAAAATAATGTTGGAATCTATACAATAAAAAGGGATGGGCAGCCTTGTTACTTAGGGAGATATATATTGATAATAAGAGATATTCAACCCCTTTCAATAAAGGTTCTCTTGTTTGGAAAGGCATAGGCAGGGGATGGAATCTCTTTGAGAAAAATCTTAGTTTGGGATGTGGGAACGGGGAGAGACATTAACATCTGGAATGACAGATGGCTTTTGCATCAGTCCCTCAGACAGATGCAAATACATCCCATCCCCTCAAACCGTTTGCCCCTGAACCTTGTTGACTGTTATTCTCTCTCAAAATCTATCAGAGCTGGAGCAGCTTATCTTATTCGAGATTACTGACTCCTTTTTTTGAGCTGTTCAATTCAGTTTCAATCACTAACCATCCTGATAATGCTTACTCATGCTGGAGTTATAAGGGTAAATTCCAGGCTTCCAAAGCAAGATTAGAGCTCACAAATAGCACCACAAACTGACACCCCTTGTTCGATTGGGGGAAAATATGGAAACTTTAAATTCACCTCAAAATAAAAATGTTCTTATGGCAGCTTGCTTGGGACAGAACACCTAATAACCTTAACCTGCACAAAAGAATTCCCAACCACCATCCTTTTCTGCTCCTTCTGTCCTTCTCAGGAAGAATCAAACTTCCACCTTTTCCATTCTTGTACTCGAGCTAAAGAAATATGGAATTTGATCCCTCCTCCTTCACCTCTTCAAACTGCAACTTCATGGCAAGATTGGCTTCAGGAAAATCTTTGCATCTCTTCTCCTATTCACAATGGAATCCCTTGGAATTTCCTTTTCTCTTTTACCCTATGGCATATTTGGCTCAGAAAAAACGCATGGATTTTTAACAAAAAAACAACAACAATCACACAAATCATCCACCAGTGCATATGGGTTGCTTTTGAGTGCCATTTCTCAATTGCCAACTCGAAAAGTCTAAAGCCCTGCTCTCCTACCTGGTCTCCTCCCCCTTTTCCCTCCCTTAAAGTTAATTGTGATTCTTCCTTCATTGAGTCAAATAAGCAAGTAGGTGTAAGCGCAATCTGCAGAAATCACTTGGGTGATTGGATAGAAGGGATCACATGGAAAAGCTATTGTCCTACCAGCCACGATGTTGAGCTTAATGCTATATACCAAAGTCTGCTTTGGGTTAAAGACAGAGGCTGGGAGAAAGTTACTATTTATTTAGATTCTAAACGAGCGGTTGAAGAAATTAATTCTAACTAGACTCTTGCAAATTCATTTGTTTTGATTACAAATTACAGGGCCCTGGTAAGGGAGCTCCACCCTTTGGAATTGCACTTTGAAGGGTGAGAAGCAAACTCAGTAGTTAACTTAGTGGCGAAAGATGCGAGGATGAACCTGGAGATTATGAACCAAACTTGTTTTTTGTATAATCCACCTCCCTATGGTAGCTTTTGATAAAGAGCGTAGCTCAGAACATGTTAACCAAACTTTTAATTTGGCTGGTGATGTCCCAGCGTTGAATATTGGTGTTGTAACAAACCTTAACTTAAGTAATTAATCCTCGCCTTTCGTAAAAAAAATGGTATGGAAAAAAAATATGCTACTTAAATCACATGTTAGAAAATAATTCACTCGAGGGAGGAAATGAGAAAAATCACTCAAACGAGTCACAAGAGGTTTGAACTCTTAACCTTAACACTAGTAGAAAAAACGCTATTTGTAACTAACAAAAACGGGCTTTTTGTAACCAACATTGGCCGTTACAAGCACTGGGGTTACAAATAGTCATGTCATTTGTAACGGACAAATAGGTACCTATTCTACTATCTTAACGAGACAAACCACCTTAACGAGACAAACCACCTTAACTTTTGTTATTTTCTCTCTAATTGAGTTGTATCACAGTTTCATAACACAACTAGTATAAATAATATAATAATATAGTATTAGTATGGAGACGTATAGAGTAATTAAATATTATTGAAGAATGCTTTAATTGCCAAGCTAGCCTAGCTAGTTTCTACTCTGTGGCTGGCTGCCTTCATTCATATGGGCTTTGGGGTGCCTTTGATAAGCACAATGCTTATATTATTGTATGAATTTAGTGGAACTAACCATAACCATTACTCCCTCCATTTTATTGACTTCGCATACAATTTAATTTTGTGAGCCAAGGTTGGTCAAAGTGAGAAGATCAACATAAAACGGATAGAGTAGAAAACATATTTGATTACCCATATTTGGTTTCTAGCAACATATTATGACCTCACCTTCCTAGAATAATTGAATTACAATATAATGACCTCACCTCCCACACTTCAAGCCCAATCGGATCTTGTGTGAGGGGGTGTAGACACCTACTTTTGGCCTCTTATCCCGAAAGGAAGTGCAATGATGTTACAAAAATCCGTTCTTCATGCTAGATCAAAGTTGAAGTGTTTATGGACTATGAAAAGAATTATGAAGTAAGTTGAAACCCATATTTGAGACCAATTTATCTTAGAGCCTTGTCCCATTACTAATTAGGCCTAAAACGTGTTCATACATGTTTAAACTTGATTAATAACGGACCCAAATGCGTCAAATGCAATGATTAGATTCAATGGAACCTACATTGTTAAAAAAAACCGAGCCAAAAAGATGAAACAACTATCAAATTCCCATGAAAAGACTATACAGATGAATAGCCCTTTCAAAGAGCTTTCCAACGGTATATTATAATCCCAATTCCGAGCCAAAACGAAGAAGTTATGATCAAAACACTAAACCGGGCCCTAAAACCGATACCCTTGCACTCCAACGGTCATAACTTTTGATCCATAACATATTTTAACCTAATTCTAACGGAATTAAAAAGTAAACATTCATAGATTTCCAATGATGTCTCACACACCTTAATCTGACTTTGCAATAAAAAGTTATGGAAGTTTTAAAAACGCGTTTTCGTATAAGGCAAACCGCAAACCAACACAACTCAATCAGTTGTGCGCGCGACTCATTGAGATGCGCGCGGCAATAGCGCGACTCCGAGAGTTGCGCCACCACCTGACGGCGTGGCTCTAAAACTCTAAACCTATATCCCTACGCCTATAAATAGGGGTCTTCGTTCAGTATTATGGGGACCGAAAAATCAGAATTAAAAACCCTATTATTTTCAAAACCCTAATCTCTCTACTTCTCTTACTATCATACTACTTTTCCCTCTTTCTTCCCAACTACTCTTCAACCCTAATCCATCCATTGAACCTCTTGAAGGTACGAATTGAAGAAGAAAGAAAGTCCATAAACATATTAAAACGGAGATTTAACATAAAAGAAGAACGGTTAGTATCCTGAGCACTTAGATAAATCACTTTTCTTTTATTGTTTAAATAACTTTAATTGATTAATTAGTGTTTTTTTATCACTTTAAAAAAACTTTTAATTACTTAATTCACATAGTATTCTTTTGTTAATCAAGAATAGAATTTGATAATTAATTGTTGTTTTGTCACTTAAGACAAGTTGAATCTTGTTTATTTATATTATTGTTCTTTCACAAATATTATTAAATAAGAATAACGACTTTCGCAATGTAATTCCTACGTGATTAATGCGTGTAAATAAAATAAACTAACTTAGTTTTAGGTATCGCGTTGCATATATTGTTTGGTAATGAAATTGTGAAAAATGAAGAGCTGGTAGAGGCCGTACTAGGGCTAAGATAGCGATTCCCCTCTAAAGGGAACGTTATCTTAGTACCCTTGCTCCCGAACTCATTTCGGGTTTATGTAGACCAATTTGGGCATGGGTAAACTTATGAATCGTGCTAATTATTCCATGAACTCCATATGGAAGAAAGGCATGAACGAGGTTTATGAGTTTTTCTAAAACTCTTTGGCGACTCCTACTTGTTTCTTACAAAAAAGCGTGATGAGAGTATCATTTCTAATTCAAGGTCTTCCAAACAGTCAGGAATTCAAATCCTAATACACCCTAACAAGTGTAAAGTCTTAGGATTTTAAATGGCCATGGACATTTAAGGAGAGGACCCCTTACGATGGGAACCCCCTCCTTACAGGGGGCAACATAGAGTATAAAACATATTATTAGACCTCAACTATCAGCTTATGATTGAGTTAGCCCTTTGACATATCTCCATAATCAATCTTCTTCTATATATCCATATTTAGTACGGAGTAAGTGTTGGGAGAGGATTCTTAGCAAGCTACAAAATAGGAAAAGATCAATCAAAGAATACAATAATTGACTTCACTCACACATAATAAGGAAACAAGTTGAAAATAGAAAGATGCATGGTCAAAGATACCAAAGAATATTCAATAAAATTATAGCTCATCAATCAAGAACTTGATTGGGCTAATCAAGGAGTCAACAATCAATTAAAGATCTTATGAAGACTATGGTATCAATCAAATAAAGCTAAATAGTGAAATGAATAACTTGATTGACGGAATATTATCCGCGTAGTGGTCCCACCTGAGTACAGACAGTACGGACTCAAGTGCACCTTTCTGAGTAAGTCGATCACCTTACTGAGCCTTTTTGAGTAAGGCAGCTTCCCTTCAAAGCTCGGACCATTAGAAGACACGTAATGAATGCTTGGGCAACAAGCACAATCAAGTCCCATGATTGAAGGAGCGAATCAAGGAAATATCAATCACCAAGTCAACATTTCCTAAGATATGAAGATTCCAATCAATATTGTCAACATTACCATATATAATAGCAAGGATTTGTCAATATTTACCTTTATTAAACTTACAAATCATTATAAATAGGATGCTCTAACTTTGTAATAGAATTCATTCACACATTCATACATTGGCTAATACAATATACCACACTTTTTATATTAAAATCTCTAATTTATGTCGTCTGATCCTTACTAACACCAGTTCGTCCTTACTCAGAAATGCCTCTCTTATCTTGATCTTTGTTCTTTTATTTATAATTATAATTATAGTTCTATTGTTTTATTGCTCTTGACTAATTCATTTGGAGGTTGTGTTTATTTTCTTTTGGCAGATTTGATTACTAAAACCCCATAAAACCTTTAACAAATTCCTAGCTTAGAAACCCTTTTCTAAGATTTGTCCTAAACAGTAAGTGGACTCTAATGTCTCTAAATGAACAACATTTCCTTCAGCTAGGCCTTGGCAGCTAGTGTTATGGCTAAACTAAGATATGAACTAGACTAAGGGCCTGTTCTATTCAGCTTAATTTCAGTTTAGTTTTGTTTAGATCCTAATTTTCTTCTCTCAAAAGCAATTCATTTCAGCTGTATTAAGTTCAGTTCAGCCCCAATCAGTTTAGTTTTGTTCAGTTGTTTTCAGCAAATCGAAACATGCCCTAAAATCCTATATAATGCGCGGAGTAATTCACCATGATTCTCTTGATCTAATCTAAATTATCGAATATACTTGTACATTTTTTCTATTATTTTAAAATTTGTTTTCATAATCTTATATATGATTTGAACTCGTTTATTCTAATTAAAAAAATCAACTTTTTTTTTTTTTTTTGTTGAGGAAAACTTTTAAAATTTTCTTTTTTTTTTATTCACGTCCGCATTTTATTTCATTTTATTTTATGAGAGAAACACAGTTTGCCTCACATTTTCAAGATAAAATTATAATTTTTCTAAATGTAGTAAGATATAAGAATATTACTATACAATACAAGTATACAACTCCCTAGTCTTTGACCATTAGATTAAAGCTGGCTTTTCCTATAATTTGGGTTCACAATTTTGTTACCTTGTAGATAGAGTATTGTTCATATTAATAGAAAAGGATAAGTATTTTAATTTGCTGTAAAATCTCGACAACGTTCATTTTTTATCCTTGCCAACTCCGTTAAACACGAGACATTTACAACTTCACATCCTCGACCATTATATATTAGTCATTCTCCCTTAAATCAAATTACGGCAAATTAATAAACTAATTTTATTATTTCTTTTAGTTTTTTTCTTTTTATTTTTTATTTTGAGGGGGACAATCTCACAAATCTACATTATATCAATGGCATCACTAGTAGCTCCTACGGTCCGTTCTACCGCAGTTGCCCTTCTTATGATAGCTTATGTTATCGGGTTTATTGAAAGTCACAACTCTATGGTTTATGGCCAGTCATGCGACGGTTATAGGCCCGATATGACGGGTCTAACTAGCTATTGTAACATGTACGTGAGAAAAGACGGCCCTAGTATCCAGCCCTCCGAAGATTGTTGTCGTGTGATAAGGAATGCTAATATGCATTGCTTATGCAAGTATGCTACCAAAAGTTTAGAAAGTATTATTAGCATTCCTAAAGCCGTTTATGTTGCTCAATATTGTGGTGTTGTCCTTCAAAGTGGAGCAAAATGTGGAAGTAAGTATCTCAAATTTCTAATTATATATTCTCTTAAATATGTATTATTGATGACCCTTAGAGATTTTTTTTTTTAAATTTATTTCAATTACTACATCCATCTGTTGATTTTTAGTTGCAACAAAGGAGTATTATTTGAGAAATATAGAAAATATCTTTGTTGCAACTAAAAATTAACGAAGGTAGTTTAAAACTTATTGGATTTCACCTTTTTATCTTTTAATGCAAGATTGATACATCCATTGGCACTTCTCTAATAACATCCATACTTTTTTTGGCAGGCTACACAGTTCCAAATACACCATGAACGCAATTCAATTGTGGTGTTACAATATAACCGGTTGTATCTTGTATGTTATGTATGCACTATGATGCTACTAATCACATACGAGAATAATGCATTATGATGCCAGAATGTAAATGGGATGTTATAATCTTTGTATTTGATAAATATTGAACTCCATCAAAAGTTTATTAGTAAAGTGATCATCTAATTAATTGGAAATTTGCCAATAAATTTTTGTACTTAATTTTGAATAAAAAATTATTGTTCATAAACAAATTGCATCATTTGCATGTGTCAAAAAGTCAAGTTAGGAAATATTGTATGATCCTTTTTATCTATGATCAGTATGGAGCAAATAATACAATTACTTGAATTTTCAAAATTGCATACCCAGGCCAGATCACTTATCAGAAATTTTAAAAATAGATTCGAAAATATATATATATATATAATATAGCGCTAACAAAGTAACCTCTATAATGACTGGCAGTGCATCTAGTCACATACTTCCTCCGTTTTCTTTTAGATGCAACACACCCTTTAGCGCGGTAATTAATAAAAGTGAGATTTACATGATATAATAAACTTTAAAATAGGATGAGTGGTTGTTAGGAGTGTAATTTAGTGGGCCATGTGCTTTAAATAAGACATATAGTATAATTTTTCCCTAAAGTAACTTTCCTTTTATAGTGTGTTGCAAGTATTGTGACATTTTTTTTTAGGAAAGTGTTGCAAGTAAAAGAAAACGGAGGAAGTATAAGATTTGGTGTATAACTTTACATTAATATCTATTTAAATAACATTTATATGATAATTTATTATTACTATACCTTAGTATAAAACCAAAATCAAAATTAATATCACATACATGAATAGTAAAAAAAAAGATCAAGTGTGTCAATTATTATGGAAAGTGAAATGATAAGAAAGATAAATAAAATTGGAAAAAAAAAATTCTCATAAATTTTAACATAAGCTAAGTTACTCCATATCATAAAGAAACTAGCTTTTTGGCCCGTTCAATGCACGAGTTGTTACTTTGGTTAATTATTTTCATCTGTAGGTATGCTTTATTTCTATAACTTAAAAGGAAAACAAAAAAAGAGTGAGGATAGAACTGTGAAAGAAGATGAAGGAATTTAGTTAGATATATATACATAAAGATTGTTAGATATGAAATGACATATTAATTAAGATTCTATTTAAAGTCCATAAGATGAAAAGACAATTTTTATTATAATTCATATATTTATGTAATGCGTAGTTGTTGTTTTTTTTTTTTTTTTTTTGAATAGATGTAATGTGTAGTTGTGTACTAATTAACTGAACTTTATTTTATTATGGTGGAAATGAAATACTACACTTTTTTAATTGAATTTGAAAGTTGTAGAATGTATAAGGACTTAAATATAAATATTAAGGGAGGTGACATGTGGCATATGGGGTAATGAGTGACTTATGATGCCACGTGTCATTTATAAAAGTTGTGGTTTGTATCTTAATGAGTATAGATAATTACGAAAAATTTTACTATTTAGTATACAAAATCGGGTTTGTATCTTAATGAGCTATTCTGAAATGACCTATAATTGAAAATTTTAAATGGGTAGGAGTAATATTACCTCCGTTAATTTGTAGTTTCAATAAAGTAACTTTTAAAATCTCACAAATAAGGTCATTTGTTACAAAAAAAAATTAATGGGGTAATTTAAAGAAAAATAATAAAGGAAATGCAAGTCAATTCCTTGTCAATGAAGTCCAAGTCAACACGCGCCAAACTCGTCAACGGTCGAAACTAAAAGTCTCCAAATGACCAAACCTTATTCTTTCTCGCCAACAACCCCAACAGAATAAAAATTATCATTCACAATTTAATTCACATCATCAACTACAAGTTATTCATTCCCCCAAATTAAACCACAACATAATTAGATCCATAAACCATAAATTATATCAATATGGTACCATTAAAATTCCCAAGAGTACGATTTACCACTATTACCCTCTTAATGATCGTTTATGTTATCGGGTTTATTAATAATCACAACACTATGGTATACGGCCAGTCGTGCGCGGGAGATATCCCTAGCCTCGTTAGCCAATGCGCTAAGTATGTGCGGAAGGTGGGCGCGAAATCCCCACCTTCCGCGCAGTGTTGTGGTGTGGCAAGGAACGCGGATGTTGTATGCTTATGCAAGTATGTTACTCAAGGAGTCGAGAAGTTTGTAAGTGTTGATAAAGCGGTTTATATTGCTCAATATTGTGGGATTCCATTTCAACATGGTGCTAAATGTGGAAGTAAGTTTTCGTATTTTCACTTGTTCTATTTTAAGTATTTTATACCTTTTTGTTAATTTGTATGTTTATGTATTGTGTCTATGATCAACTTTTTTTCCTTTGCTTGTTGTGGCATGAGTTTTTTTTTTTTTTGGTGGTGGTGTTTAGAGAGCCACAAGAGGGGAGTGAGAATCGATTTCAGGTAAGTCGGGAGGGAAAGTGTCATAAGTTTCTTAAATTAAAGGAAAAATTGTTCCCATTAATCTGAACTTTGCCTCGTCCGCCGAAAATAATCCCAACTTTCGTTTATTATCTATTGCACCGAACTTTGGGGGTATTAATTTTCGTTGCACCCAACAGGTCATCTAACCTGATGTAGCAAGTTACCTAGACACGTGTCAGCGTATGATTGGCTTAATTTTTTTTTTAAAAAAAAAAAACAAAAAAAAAAAAAAAAAACCCACAAACCACCCACACCCAGCGGCTGCCACCACACCCCCACCCCAACCACGCCGGAAAATCACCTCCACCCTCGAAAAACCCCTCCCCTGCTGCCGGAAACCGCCGCCCAGCCTTCCCCCTACCTCGAAACCCACCCTTTCCCTTCCCCCACCCCCGAAAACCCCTCCCCCACCCTTATTTCCTCCGTCACTCCCCTCTCCCCCGCCGTTTTCCGACCCGAATCCCCTTCCCCTTCCCCTTCATTTTCGCCATTCCCCCCTCCCCGTCGTTTCCGCCCCCTTCCCCTTCGTTTCCGACCCAAATCTGCCCTCCCTTCCTATATCCTCCCCCACTGCCATTAACGGTGGCTGCCGTTAAGGGGTGGCTGGGGTTTTTTTTTTTTTTTTTTAATTTTGTTTTTTTTAAATTTTGTTTTTTTTTTAAAATTTTGTTTTATTTTTTTTTTAAATTTTTTTTATTTGACCATTCATATAGTGACACGTGTTCAAAAAAATATAACACATAAATGTTGACCGGATTAACCGGTTGCAGGTAAGTTGGGTGCAACGAAAATTAATACCCCCAAAGTTCGGTGCAATAGATAATAAACGAAAGTTGAGATTATTTTCGGCGCACAAGCCAAAGTTCGGATTAATGGGAGCAATTTTTCCTAAATTAAAATATAGCATTGCTTGTTTTATTTGGTGATGGTTAAAACTTTTGTTGAAATCCTTGTGGATGGTTTGGTGTCCAATAAATCAATATTAATAGGAGTAATTTTTTAATTATATTTAAAATTTTGTATGATTATCTGAAATTAGCTATATAACCAAAAATCATAAGGAGTTCTAGGTTCTTTAGTTTTCAAAAAGGTAAGTACAAATGTTGTAAAGATGGCCCATAAACTAGATGTCTCTACTAGGAAGGGCATGAAATTTGCTTTCTTGGCTGTCAAAAAAAATAAAAAATAAATAAATAAATAAAATTGTGTCTTTATAAAAACTTGAGCGAAATAAACAAATAATACTTCAAACCCTTTAAAGTTGAACCAATATAATTTGTCACAACTGAAACTTATTGTTTATTTAAAATCAAGAAGTGATCTACGAAGTTGGGAAATTATGCAGTTAGTTATATACTTATATCATATCCTTAAATTAGTGAATACATGTTATATGATCCAACTTCAAATTCAGTGGTATTTTGTGTATATAGAAGGACAATCCATATTGTTTCAAGGTGTATTATATATATATGCACTAGTGTGTGAAGCACGCACGCGTTGTCTTGAATATATCTACATAGATGATGTTTTTATTAATACATGCAAAATGCATAACATATATAGTCAAACATTTGTAAGTATATACTTCCTCTGTTCCTTATACTTAAAACAATTCTCATTTCACATATCCCAACAACAAAAGGTATAAAATGAATAAAGTCACATATATGCTTATTTGATTAACATGAATTATATGAAAGTATTAAACTAATTAAGAAACGACATGAAATGATATTATTTGGTTTGCAATTTTGCAAATATCATATATTGAAATGTCTAGGTAAGTTGATTTTTTCATAGAAATTTATAGAACTCATACTAAAACTAATACATTTGGAAGAAATTAAATGAACTTATATATATGTGAAAAACCACTTTATTAGAAAAAATCTTTCTATATTCAACCAAACAAACACTACTATGTCACCTTATTTAAAATGGCCTACATTTCATATCTTCTTTCTATCATATTCCACACGTTATAAATTTCATCAACTAAATGGATACCAAACAAACACTTGTTAATCACATTCCACAAATTACAAGGAGCACACGTTGTTTTAACCCATCTATTATACCATGAGCATGACTACATAAAGCCTATTAAATTTTCTAGTATATCATGAATATGTTTCTGATAGAACAATGTATACTACAAGAGGGGGGGTGAATTGTAGTGTATGTAGACTATGGTAAATTTTGCGGAATTAAATCTACTACTAAGAGAAAAGACACTGATATAGGCAATGAATAAATTCACTCTGTAAAAATGATTTACAATCACTAATACGTTGCCTAGACTCAAGTTCCGTGAGGAACTCAAGTTACCCAACTGTGATCCCTCAATCACAGTTTCTCACACTTTGTGATTCTACTCCGAATCACTTGTACAGTGTAAACAACTCTCTCAAGTCTCACACTTTACAACTCTCACAACCCAAACCCAATTACACAATGATTACAAGTATTTCCTAAAGAACTTAAGAGACTAAGGATGGAAGGAACTTCTCTTTTAAACACTTTGAAACTCTATGCTCAGAATACTTAAGATTGTTTTTCCACACTTTCAAAACTTAACGTTGATTTGTTTTTATAAGGAGTTAAACCAAGCTTCCATCAAGTTCTCACTTCCCCCTTAATCCCACGTTCTCTTTGGCTGAGAAGTTGGGATGTAGGCAGAGGAAATTTAGGAACATGATTTCCTTAGCTTGACTCCCAAGTTCAACGTTCTCCTTAATACTAGGAGCCAGTATTTACCAAGTCAAAAAAATCAGTTATTCAAAAAGATAATTATTTAATAAAAAAGATAATTATTTATTTATTAATTAAAACATAAATAATTAATTAATTTTAAACTTATCTTTTTAAATTAATGAATTATTTATTTATTTATAAAATCTTTTTAAATCTTTTTCAAAACTGATTTTTATCACTTCCTTAAATTAAGGGTTTTGAAAACCGTTTTAAAACTTGCGTTTAAAACTTTCTGAGTCATTCGTCAAGTTCCTTCAGGAACTTCAGGTTCCTTCAGAAACTTCGAGTTTCTTCTTAATTCCTTCCAACACTTTTGTTTCTTAAGTTCGTACACTGAGTAACTAAGAATATAGAGTTGTGAGGACATCTTGAAAGCTTGCATTCATCGTCAAGTCTTCCAAACTCTGTCGTTCCTACTCCGGAACATGTATTTGTGTACCTGAATCTTTCTGTTCAACCAAGACTCATAAACATCATTAGTCAGAGTTTGTTTTATGTAAGTCAATCATCAAAATATTAAGGTAGTCAATTCAACAATATTCCCCCTTTTTGATGATGACAAACAAAAACAAACTCGGTTAAACAAAACAAACATCCAAGCAATCAGAGTAACCAATACTTAAATAAAACAATTAAATTATTTAAAGCAATAAAATAAACTAAGGATAAAGAAGTCTGCATCATTCATGAAATTAATAAATTGTGAAATTTATACCTTTACTTAAATGATGAAGACTGAAGGGAATCGGTTTGAGTCCAGCTTTCTGAGTTTGTTCTTCTCTTCCCCCTTTTGACATTATCAAAATGATAGAAAGAGCATGCTGTATATAGTATTAAACTACGGAGGGAGTAGTAAATCTGAATTCATGAACGATTAAGCATGCGCACACAGTTCATATGCAACCAAAATGAAAACATCAAATTCAAAGACAAACTTAGCCAGTTTAATACAAACCGAAATAAAACAAAACAAAATGTGTAAAACAACCAAAAAATCCAAAAGAAACTAAAGAAAAACTAAACAAAAGAACATTGTTCATAAATCACAAGAAACAGTGGGGTAGGTGTGTTTGGCAAAGGCTAGGAGATGGTAGTAGCTTCATGGTAAGGGAACATCCTTGATTGCATCAAGAATGATTTTGTAACAACTTTGCTTCACCTTAGCTTTGAGTTCCTGAGTCGAGGAGTCCATATGAGCGTTTACTTTATCTTCCAGAGAAAGCATCTGAGTTTGCAGCCCCTCAACTTTAGTAGCCAGGTTATCCACTTTAGAAGAAAGGTTAGTTATACTCCGTGTAAGTGTAGTGGACAAAAGCTGAAGTTCCTCTTGGATTTGCAAGGAACTTGGACCAGAGCTAAAAGCACTGAAGCCAAAACCAGAAGTACGAGGCTGTGAAGCAGGTGGAGAAGGTGTGGTTTGGTGAACAGAGGAAGGAATAGGGGGTGGTGATGGAGTTCCTTCAGAAACAAGGGAAGACGGACCCTCTTCAGAAACTTTAGATGTATCATCATCCAATTCAACAATAATAACAGGCTGAGATCTCAATGTTCTGGGTTTAGAAGAAGCAAGTCTAACGCTTCTCCTTTTTCTACCTGTTACAGGGACAGTTTGTTTAACAGAGCCTCCAATTTCCTTGAGTAGCTCTTTCACTAACTCCTCTTTGTCATCTTTTTCCTCCTTCTCACTCTCTATTTCTTTCTCTTCTTCTGTTTCCCTCTCTACTGCACTTTTTCTCTCTTTTTCACTCTCTTTTTCCTCTTCTTTTTCACTCTCTATTTCCTCTTCTTTTTCATCATTTTTCTCACTGTCTTTCTCTTTCTTTTCTTTTTCTTTCTCACTGTTTTCTTCCTCTTTTACTTCTTCCTTCTCACTGTCTTCCTCTTTTACTTCTTCCTTCTCACTGTCTTCCTCCTCATCAATGATTTCCCTCTCATTCAGTTCCCCCTTACGTTGATCTCCCTCTTCCTCAGATTCCGAGTGTACATCGGTAATAAAACAAACTTTTCCACGAACAACTTTAAGGCTTAATTTTGAGAGGGATTTTTCATGGAGTATGTTTTCTGGTTTCAAGGGGTGGGTTTCTCCATTGGTTAGAGGAACTTTGAAGGTTGGAAGTGGCGGTTGGTGTTTTGGGGTTTTTTGAGGTGAGTGGGTGCGTGTGGTAAGTGAGGTAAAAAGATAGGTGACAGTTGAGAGTTTAGTGGGATAGAGAAAAGGTTGTGATTTATTTTGACAATGATAAAAATTAAAAAAATAAGATAAAATCTAATTGAGAAAAAAAAAATCTTTTTGTTGTTTTTAAATTTATAAGATAACAAAAATAATAAAAAGATAAAAATAAAAATTAAAAAATAAAGAAAAATAAAAATTACGAAAGAAAAAAATTCCAGCAAGTTACTTCAAAGTAAAATACTGGTTGACATGTACAGAGCTTTACAAAAAGGAACTTGGAAAATAATATGGCTTAATTTGTCTTCTGCATCAACATAATCATATGCTCACATACTCATTAGAATTACACACTCTTTCATTGCAAGATTCGAGGTTATGTTTTTCACACCAAGGTTATATATAGCAATGCTCAGTCGTTTCACTAAGACATACCTTGGGGTTCCAAGAAGAACTGCTCAATTCATCTTTATCATTTCGAGTTCCAATCGCATCTTTTCGAATTTTTCTCTACTCAAAGGCTTTGTTAGAATGTCAGCAATTTGATATTCAGTTTGTACAAATTCTAGTTTAATAGAGCCTTTTTCCACATTGTCTTTTAGAAAATGATGCCTAACATGAATATGCTTTACACGTGAATGATGTACTGGATTTTTTGATATGCAAATAGCACTTGTATTATCACAGTATATTGGAACACATTCAAGAACTATGCCAAAATCACGTAATTGTTGTTTTATCCACAACAGTTGTGAGCAACATGCAGCAGCTGCTACGTATTCTGCTTCTGCTGTGGATAGAGCAACTGTATTCTGTTTCTTGGAACTCCAAGAAACTAAACAAGATCCTAGGAATTGGACCATACCTGATGTACTTTTTCTATTCACCAAATCCCCAGCATAGTCAGCATCGGCAAATCCAGTTAGATCATATGTGTCACTTCTTGGGTAGAATAAACTCAAGTTGTCAGTTCCTTTGAGATATCTCAGTATTCTCTTGACGGCTGTTAGATGCGATTCTTTGGGGTTTGATTGGAACCTAGCACACAGACCAACACTAAAAGAAATTTCAGGTCTACTTGCAGTTAAGTATAGTAAGGAACCAATCATCCCTCTGTACTTTGTCTGGTCCACACAAGTTCCTGAGGGATCTTCGTCTAATCTAGAGTTAGTTACCATAGGAGTGTGGTTAGTCTTTGCGCTGTCAAGGTTATACTTTTTCAGGAGTTCCTTGACATATTTTTGTTGATGTAGAAATATTCCTGATTTTGTTTGTTTGATCTGCAGTCCTAAAAAGAAATTTAGTTCCCCCATCATGCTCATTTGGAACTCACTGCACATCAAGTCAGCAAAGTACTTGCACAAAGATTCGTTAGTTGCACCAAATATAATATCATCAACGTAGATCTGTACAACTAAGAGATGAGCTCCTTTAGATTTTAAAAACAAAGTTTTATCAATTTTTCCTCGTTTAAAATAATTTTCCAAAAGGAACTTGGACAGTCTTTCGTACCATGCTCTTGGAGCCAGTTTTAGCCCGTAGAGAGCCTTATCAAGTTTAAAAACATGGTTTGGAAAGTTTGGATTCTCGAATCCAGGGGGTTGATCGACGTAAACTGTTTCTTTTAATAAACCATTCAAAAACGCACACTTTACGTCCATCTGATACAGTTTAAAACCCATAAAAGCAGCAAAAGATATTAAAATTCTAATAGCCTCAAGTCTAGCAACAGGAGCAAATGTTTCCTCAAAATCAATACCTTCCTGTTGGTTATATCCCTTTACAACCAACCTAGCCTTATTTCTTACAATTGTACCATATTCATCAAGTTTGTTTCGAAAGACCCATTTTAAACCTATGACCTTTTTATCTAGTGGCTTAGGTTCAAGATGCCATACCTGATTTCTTTCGAATTTATTCAGTTCCTCTTGCATGGCTATATCCAGTCAGGGTCTTCTAAGGCTTCTTTATGGTTGCGAGGTTCCAAAGTAGATAGAAAAGCATTGAAGGCACAGAAGTTCCTCATTTGCGATCTAGTCTGAGTTCCTTTGCATAAGTCACTAATAATTTTGTCCAGTGGGTGTGACTTTTGGTGCTTCCAAGGTTTGGGCTGGAAGGTTTGGATAGTAACTCGACTATTCTTATTTTCTGAGCCAGTTGCTTCTTCTTCAGTGATTTCCTCTTGTGTTATTGGTTCCTCGGCAGGTTCTTCAATCTGAGGCTGTTCTATCGAAGGAACTTCAGTCAGTATGTCGAGTTCCTTCTCCGGATTTTCATGATTTTCATTTACTCGAGTTGGCTGCTTATTTGGAATTATTGCATCTTCTTCTTGTTCTTGAGAACGTACTAGACCAATTTCAAAGTCATAGTCCTCATGTTCCTGTGTACATGGAAGTGGATTAGTTTCATCAAATATAACATGCACACTTTCCTCAACACACATAGTACGTTTATTGTAAACTCTATACGCTTTACTGTTAGTAGCATATCCAAGAAATACGGCTTCATCACTTCTTTCATCAAATTTCCCTATGTTTCTTTTACCATTATTATGCACAAAACATTTACAACCGAATGCTCTAAGATGAGATATGTTCGGTTTTCTGCCTTTCATCAGTTCATAGGGTGTCTTATTTAATATAGGCCTTAGCATGACACGATTTATAATATAACAGGTTGTATTCACGGCTTCTGCCCAGAAGTTCCTTGGAAGATCGCTGGCTATTAACATGGTTCGAGCCATGTCTTCTAAGGTTATGTTCTTCTTTTCCACAACTCCATTTTGCTGTGGAGTTCTTGGAGCTAAGAAATTATGACTTAAGCCTTGTTCCCTGCATAAATCATCAAATTTAAAATTCTCAAATTCAGTGCCATGATCGGATCTAAGGTGTATCAGTTGATGACCTGTGGACTTTTGAATTCTCTTGGAAAATGTAACAAACTCGTCAAAAGTCTCATCCTTACTAGACATAAAAATAACCCATGTAAATCTAGAATAATCATCAACAATTACTAAGACGTACTTCTTTCCACTTCTACTTTGAATTCTCATAGGACCACATAAATCCATATGAATTAACTCTAAGGGTTTCGTGGAACTCACCATCTTCTTGGATTTAAAGGATGTCCTGACCTTCTTTCCTTTCACACAAGCGTCACAAATTTTGTCACATAGGAACTTGATTGAAGGAAGTCCCTCTACCAAGTTCCTTGTTCTTAACTTATCAATCAAAGAGAAACTTGCATGACCAAAACGTTTATGCCACAGTAAAGGATCATCCTCAATGACACTGAGGCAAGTTAAGTTGTTCCTCGGAACTGTATTGAGATCCACTGTATAAGTGTTTCCTTTCCGAGTTCCTTCCAGCAAAACTTTCCCAGTGTCATTCTGAATGATGCTACATTTTTCAGAATCAAAACTTACAGAGTTTCCTTTATCACAAAATTGTGATATGCTTAATAAGCTGTGTTTGAGGCCCTCGACTAAAAAAACATTATCAATAGCTTGGGAACTTGACCTTCCAACTTTTCCTACCGCAACAATGCTGCCTTTCTTGTTATCACCAAAGGTCACTGTTCCTCCTGTATAGGCCGTCAGTGAGAGAAATCTTGATTTATCTCCTGTCATGTGCTTGGAACAACCACTATCGAGGTACCATTGGTTGTTCCCCCTCACTACGACTTGCAAAAGAAACTAAGGGTTAGATTCAGGAACCCCATCTTTCATAGGTTCCTGCGTTGACACAGTAGACTCAACTTTCTTTTGCCATACATAGTTCATGTTTTTAGCAGACTTGAGTTCCTTCCTTTTACATTCAGTGTCTTTGTGTCCTGACTTGCCACAGAAGGAACACACAATCTCACTAGGGAGTTCCACATACTTTTTCTTTTTACCACTATTCTTCTTTTTGTGGTTGAAACCCAAACCCTCTGTCCTTCTGGTTTGAGCTTCAGATATCCACTTTGGAACTCCCATGTGGATTGCACTTTTGTTGTTTCTAGCTCTTTCTAAATCCTTTTCAAGGGATTCATTTTTGTCTTTAGTAACCTGCAATTCTTTTTTCAAATTTTCAAGATCATCATTAAAGGTTACTAAAGGCAATTGAAGAGCATTATTAGAATCAATGTTAGTGCATAACAATTTATACTGAGTCAATTCAACATTTAACATGATATTTTCATTTTTGACTCTTTCCATTGTTTCTTTAAGCATAGTGTTTCTATCTAGCAAATCAAAGAATCTTCCCTGAACATCTGTTCTTGAACTATTCAAATATTTCATATGATCCTTATAGATTTCTAGAGCTTTTTCATTTTGTCCAAGTTTAAGACATATTTCTTTATATTCATCCAAAGTTTCTATGAGCAAAGAAATTAATTTGTCTTTTGACAGGGATTTCAGAAATTTAGGTTCGAGATTTACCTCCTCTGACTTTTTAGCAGACTCACTGTGTTTAGCCATCAAACACAGGTTTGCCGTCTCTTCTTCCGTGGATTCTTCTTCATCCTCGGAACCTGTGTCTCCCCATGCAGCTATCATGGCTTTCCTGTAATCAGATTTTGAAAAGTTTGGAGTATTAGATTTTCCGTGTTCCTTCATTTTGCCTTTTCCTTTTTCTGATTCCCAGAGAGGGCATTCCTTGATGAAGTGATCTGTGTTCCCACATTTGTGGCATCCTCCAGTTTCCTTGGAATATTGGTTTTTCTTGAAGTTCCTTTTCTTTTGGTCACCAAACCTTTTGTTGCGGTACAACTTTTTTAGCTTCCTGACTAGCATGGCAGCTTCTTCCTCTCCAGATTCGAAATCCTCTTCACTTGGTTTGACAACCTTTAGAGAAATTCCTCGGCTCTTTGAACTTTCTTGGCTTTTGTTTGATAGGTGAAGCTCATGAGTTATTAAGGAACCTGCAAGTTGTTCAAGGTTGAAAGTTGTAAAGTCCTTTGATTCCTGCAAAGCTGCCACTTTGGATCTCCACCGTTCATCTTCAGGAAGACTCCTTAGAATTTTGCGTACCTGTTCATCCATAGGAATAACTCTACCAAGAGAAACTAATTTATTAGTAATATTTTTAAAACGAGTAAACATTTCTTGAATAGTTTCTTTTGAACCCATTTCAAAACGTTCATATTTAGAAAGCAGTATATCAATTTTAGAACGTTTAACTTCATGAGTTCCTTCGTGGGTTATTTCTAGTAAATCCCATATTTCTTTTGCTGTTTTACATCCCATAACACGAGTGTGTTCATCTGGCCCTAAACCCTAAACTAGGAGTTTTTTAGCAGTAGCATTAATCTCTTTCTTCTCAAAGTCGCTTCTATCGTATTCAGAAATAGGTTTATGAATTACCTCGTTTTCTACATTGGTCTTTGTTACCTCGTAATCTCCTACCTCGATAGCTTGCCAGACTTGATAATTCTCGGACTGTATGAACATCTCCATCCTCGTCTTCCAATAGGCGTAGTACTTCCCATTGAAGAGTGGAGGTCTTTGTGTAGAATAACCTTCAGCTAGTCTCTCGTCCATCGACATTGTTCCTCCAGGAACTTGACTCGACAGGGCTTCCTGCTTTTCCGAGTTCCTTGCTCTGATACCAACTGATAGAACAATGTATACTACAAGAGGGGGGTGAATTGTAGTGTATGTAGACTATGGTAAATTTTGCGGAATTAAATCTACTACTAAGAGAAAAGACACTGATATAGGCAATGAATAAATTCACTCTGTAAAAATGATTTACAATCACTAATACGTTGCCTAGACTCAAGTTCCGTGAGGAACTCAAGTTACCCAACTGTGATCCCTCAATCACAGTTTCTCACACTTTGTGATTCTACTCCGAATCACTTGTACAGTGTAAACAACTCTCTCAAGTCTCACACTTTACAACTCTCACAACCCAAACCCAATTACACAATGATTACAAGTATTTCCTAAAGAACTTAAGAGACTAAGGATGGAAGGAACTTCTCTTTTAAACACTTTGAAACTCTATGCTCAGAATACTTAAGATTGTTTTTCCACACTTTCAAAACTTAACGTTGATTTGTTTTTATAAGGAGTTAAACCAAGCTTCCATCAAGCTCTCACTTCCCCCTTAATCCCACGTTCTCTTTGGCTGAGAAGTTGGGATGTAGGCAGAGGAAATTTAGGAACATGATTTCCTTAGCTTGACTCCCAAGTTCAACGTTCTCCTTAATACTAGGAGCCAGTATTTACCAAGTCAAAAAAATCAGTTATTCAAAAAGATAATTATTTAATAAAAAAGATAATTATTTATTTATTAATTAAAACATAAATAATTAATTAATTTTAAACTTATCTTTTTAAATTAATGAATTATTTATTTATTTATAAAATCTTTTTAAATCTTTTTCAAAACTGATTTTTATCACTTCCTTAAATTAAGGGTTTTGAAAATCGTTTTAAAACTTTCGTTTAAAACTTTCTGAGTCATTCGTCAAGTTCCTTCAGGAACTTCAGGTTCCTTCAGAAACTTCGAGTTTCTTCTTAATTCCTTCCAACACTTTTGTTTCTTAAGTTCGTACACTGAGTAACTAAGAATATAGAGTTGTGAGGACATCTTGAAAGCTTGCATTCATCATCAAGTCTTCCAAACTCTGTTGTTCCTACTCCGGAACATGTATTTGTGTACCTGAATCTTTCTGTTCAACCAAGACTCATAAACATCATTAGTCAGAGTTTGTTTTATGTAAGTCAATCATCAAAATATTAAGGTAGTCAATTCAACAGTTTCATTCTCTCTAGAAGAAATAGCAATTTTGTAGGAATTAGACTTTTTTTTAGTGGTATACCTTCAGAAGTGGTATACCTTAACAAGTGGTTGCATTTAAGGGCATAATTTTAAAGAATCCCTTGCTAAAATGGGGTGGTTGAGTCCATTATTATTCAGCTTTAAATAGTTCCCTCCACCAACTTTCTTACCCCAATATATTATGCTAATTGATTTAAGATAAAGTGTATACTCTATAGGTGTCACTTAAAACATAGAAATGAGTCAATGACTATGTTGGAGTGTTGGACATACCCGGACCCAAATCTCTATCACCAACCACCCCCAAAAAATGTCTCTAAGATGACTAATAGGTTATTCAGGATTGAATTTAGTTTGATTTAATTTAATTGCAACCAAAATGAGTAAATAAGTTTGATTTTATAGTTAGGGTCTATTTGTTTCCCACTCAATTGTTACTAAGCTACTTTGTACAATGATTAATTAATATATTGACTTATTGATTTTCTTTCCAGGTCAATTTTTGTCGATCTTTCTAATTATGACTTCTAGGACAATATGAGTGGATGATTTTAAAAAACAAATTAAATGAAATTTTTTATGATAAATCTCTTGTAATATGTTGCTTCTGCATTTTAAAGTTGTAGTATCATTTTGACATGACACGTTTGTTACACAACACACCATAGTTAGCGCGCAATTCTGATTCTACTGGGACATTTTAGTAAATTGCTAAACTAAAAAGGAAGTATAGTGGGACCCAAATTTGCCAATATATACTTCCTCGACCGTCATTCATTCTTCCATAGAGCAAATCAAATAAAGAAAAAAAATAAAGAGAGACAAAAGAAAGTGAGAATATGGCATTAGCAACTCCTACATTGCGTTTTACTACAATTACTATCCTTCTTATAGCTTCAATTTTTGCCTTTGGCAACGACAACTTCATGGCTTACGGGCAATGCGAAGGGGATATTTCGGGTTTAATTAGCCAATGTGCTATGTATGTGAGGAAGGCGGGGCCGAAAACCCCGCCCTCCTCACAATGTTGTGCCTTAGCCAAAAAAGCTAATATTCCATGCTTATGCAAGTATGTTACTAAGGATATTGAGCAATATGTTAGTGTTGAGAAGGCTGTCTATGTTGCTCAATATTGTGGTATTAATTTTAAGCATGGCTCTAAATGTGGAAGTAAGTGTCTATTAACTCAATCTTTTTGAATAAATAACTCTTTTTTTTTTTTTTTTTTGGTTTTATTTGCTTGAAATCATAGCATTTTCTTTTTTAATATGGACACGAACATGATACATACTATATCTAATACTACTATTACTTATATTGAAATTAAGTAATTGTTCGTTTATTATTGTTTTTTTAGGCCACTCAAATATTATCTTCATCTTTAAAAGCTTTTCGCATTTTTTTATGAGATAATTACCGCTAACAGATAAATGATTCTTATGAGATGGACTAGTAGAGGAATTGTTATTATTGTTACATAAAATTTGTGAAATATTAGTAGAGCAAATGATATACAAGTAAAAAACTATAAAGAAAAAGCTAAGAATAATTCATGATTTTCATACAGTAAGGGATATAATAAAAGTAAAAAAATTGATAGAAGACTGACCAACACGAGAAAATCATCACATAAAATATGAAACAATGAAATTGTCTCCTACACTCCTACTACTGTCGGTTGCCATGAAATAATTAATTAGGAAAATATTGATGAGAGATTTGTATTTATGTAATGATTGTGAATTTGGCATTTTGGGATAAACGTATAAATATTATGTTGTTGACTTCTTATTAATACTTGTATGTTAATGTTGTTTGTTGTTATTAGATGACCAATTAAACAGGTATAGTATGATTGGGTAAGAGTTGAGTGAGTAGAAATTTAATTCAATCTTGTACACTTAGAAAATTGTCTACCTGGGTTTAATTTATGTCTATGTTAGAGACTGATTCATGATTTAATGTTCGCTTAATTTATATTGATTCGTAATTTAATGTTCGCAATATGCAATATAATTTACTTGAATGTGTTAAGATGACAATATATATATAAGAAAAAAATGTTTGCCTCTTTTGGCGATCAGGAAAGGATCTTAATTGAGGGTCGTGATGACATTGTCTTCCAAAAATTTTTAAAGAGCAAAAGAATGTATTATTGGAATATAAGCTACAAGTATTATAAATTAAATAACATATTATGGCAAAATGATTAATTATATATTTATATTATGTAATTATATTTTTAAATAGAGGCTAAAGGTTTAACGTGATTTCCTCTAATTTTTGGTCTAAAATTTGCCTATGTGTAACTAGCTAGCTACCCATTCTTATATGGCTCATCCATTTTAGGTATAAGAGTATTACCAACTACCAAGTACTCCTTTTCGATGTTGTAAGATTTGTAACATTAACATTTCTAACTTAATACCTTTTTTTGGCAGGTTACACAATTCCATGAGCACGTCGATGACAATTATGCCACCGAATACAATACAATACAATAAGCAAATGTTTAAATTATGTTATGTATGCACTACAAATAATAGCTAAGTTAGTTACGAGCATATTGAGTACGTTGTGGAGCAGTGGTATCGTTTTCACCTTATATTTCACCAAAATATAGAATAAATTTAGCCTGGATTGTGTGCACGGATCTACTTAATGCATACTTGATACGACGGTCCATCAAATTAGTTTCCTAATTATAATGCAAGTGATGTTCAACATGTGATTCGAATAGAGTATTCTAGATTTCTACTATGTAGTAGTTTACTAGTTTTATATAAAGTAAACTTGTAACATGTATGTTCTTTCTGTTTTTTTAATGAATAAACTCTTTTTATTAATAAAGAAACACTTTTTATTTATCTGTTATAACTCGTGTTAAGGAAAGAACAATTGAACAAAGGTCTATTTATGATTATGAAAATAAATAAGGGTACGAGTACAAATTAAATACAAATTCGAAAAGGTATGTATCTTGTGTCGTGTCATTTAAGCTTGTGATGGGCTCTTTTATAAACGGGGTCATTGTAGTGTCGACCTGACTTAAGACTACAAACATAGAAACACTACAGCCAAATAATATTTACTTACAAAATAAGTTCATAATTTTTTAAGACTAACAAAGGGATGAATGAGCTGAATTGCCCAAAACTACATATGATATTGTGTGAGAATGTGAGATATCTGAGAAATTGAGAATCATATGTACAATATTTTGGACCATGAAAAGGCCTCATCTTGTCATCTTCTTTTCGCATGGGCCTATCCTGCACACTACATTCATTTTCTACCTGGCAACTTGCAAGTTATACCGTGAGAAATAATCCAAACACTGAGAAGTCAAGCTAAGAACTACTCGTTCTTTAATACTTCGTATCTTACATTCTATTGAAACAAGTTGTTTAGGTCTATTTTATTACTTGGTCAAATGTATTATGGAGTAGTTTGAATGGATTTGTTTTGATCTAAACTAGTCTGATTTAATGTAATTGTCGGATTAAATTGATATTTTTACACTAATGTAAACAAAACATATTACTTCCACGTAATCCTAATTAGGAAAGTCACAAACAACTTTAGATTTAATCTCTAGACTCTAACAAAAAATAAAGACGTTCCCAATTCGAACACCCTAACTAGAATCTTATGCCAAGTAGATACGATTGTACTTATTAACTCAGGGTTCGTTTGGCATCACTATATTTTTTTGTTTTTTGGTTTTTTATTTTTTAAAATCACATAATATATGTCATATAATGAATCAATAATTAGTCAAAATTATTAAAATCATGATAATTATGAAAACTGACAAACATAAAAGTGAAAACACTTTTTTCTTTTTTCTTGTTTCCTGTTTTTAGTTTTTTTTGTTTTCAAAAAACTGGAAAATGAAAACAAAAAACAATGCCAAACAAGCCCTCAATTTTCAATTTTTGATCGAGTTAAACTCAATTAAATAACATTTTTTTTAAGGAGAAGGTCCATCTTAGGAAGGCGAGATGTAAGGGAAATCCCTCCTAGAATGTGCTTGGTGAAATTCGATCCCTAACTTTACACCTAAAAATCGGAGAATTAGCCAACTACTCTAGTCTCCTATCTCAAATAATTTGAGTTGTCTCGAGTCTCTCAATTCAGGGTCTATTCTCTTCAGCTTATTTTTAGCTCAGTTCAGTTTAATTCGGCTCCAATCAGTTCAGTTCACTTCCTAATTTCCTTCTCTTATAAAATATTCACTTCAATTCAGCTCCAATCAATACAGTTCAGTTCAATTTAGTAAATCAAAATAAATCCATAGCACCCTTACTTACACACAGCACACAGGCCCACAACTATCCCAATAATCTGACATTAGATTGTTCTACGCGTGCCAGGAAGCAACAATACATTAATCTAAAAAGTACTTGCTACCCACAACAAAGAACAAAAGAATGACGGCCGGCAAGCAAGGAACCAATGCAATACATTATACATACCATTATCATATTAAGCTAATAATAAGACCAATTAAACGACTAAAAGCACCACAAATAAAGTTTAATTGCAATTAAAAACACTCAAATAAGCAAACATTGATACCAACTAACGTGACATGGAATCCTAACATTGGTCCACAATCCCACATTTGGCCAAAAACTTTGAAACCTTCTCCCAAAATACAAGTATATTCATCACAAAAATATAAATAATTTATATACATTAAAAAAAAAATAACAAAAAATATAAATAAAAATTGCATTACAGCCAATAAAATTAAAAAGCCGTTAAATCGGTCCCAATGTGGACCCCAAAAGCTACCAATAAAATAATAAATTTTTTATAAAGCCAAAAAATTTATTTTTATTTTATGAAATCAAACTTTGCTTTATTTTTCCCTTAATATTCAAAATTAGCCGTTGCAGTTACACCCTCCCATTCACAACATTTAAATATTCTACCCCTTCAACAAAGCAACCTCCCCTCCCTCCCTCCCTTTAATTCCCTCACATTTTCCTCCGCTCCTCTACCACCAAATTTCCCTTCATTTTCCTCCCTCAATTTCGTAACTTTTCCTATTTTTCCAATTACACGGTAACAACATTATACGTCTATACTATGTGTTCCATTCTCCTTAACCCGAAAAGATCACTATCTACCCCGCTACTATACCTATCTAGTAGCGCTACGAATAGCAGTAGTAGTACTAGTAGTAATAGTAGCGAGGCAGCCGAGGATAACCCGAATAATATTATGGGTTATCCTCGGCCGTTTCAGATAGTGAAAAATGTGGAAAAAATAATGGCAGGGTCAACATCAAAATCGTACAAGCTCCTAGATGTACTTTCGGGTCATGTAGGAGCGATTTCGTGTTTAGCGTTATGCGGCGAATTCGTGTTGAGTGCGTCCCAAGGAAAGGACATTATTGTATGGCAACAACCCGATTTACGGCTTTTTACTAAGTTTGGTGCGGGAGAAGGTTCGGTCAAGGCGCTTGTTACGGTAGGAAATAAAGTCTTTACGGCCCATCAAGATAGCCGAATTCGGGTTTGGAAGGTGTCTAAGAGATCGGAGAACGTGTTTCGACTCGTGGATACGCTTCCTACGACGAAGGATTACCTAGGAAAGTGTATGAAACAGAGTAATTATGTACAAATTAGAAGGCATCATAAGAAGTTATGGATTGAACACGCTGATAGTATATCATGTTTAGCAGTTGAAAATGGGTTAATTTATTCTGGTTCTTGGGATAAGACTTTAAAGGTTTGGAGATTATCTGATTTAAGGTGTTTAGAGTCAATTAAAGCACATGATGATGCAATTAATGGGTTAATTGCTAAAAATGGGGTTGTTTACTCTGCTTCAGCTGATGGGAAAATTAAGGTTTGGGGTAAGGAGAGTGGTAAGAAAAACTCGAGCTCCGGCTCGAGTTTGCATAAGTTGGAGGGGGTCCTAGCGGGTCATAAGGATGTTTCAATGAATGCCGTGATCGGACCCGATCACGGCAATGGGGATGGGGATGAGAATGAGAGGGTGTATGGAGGTGCATCAGATGGGTATTTGATGGGGTGGGAAAGAGGGAGAGAAGGGGAATGGAAGTTGGTTGTTGAGGTAAAAGCACATCAATTGTCAATATTATGTTTAAGTTTTATGGGAGATATTTTGTGTAGTGGATCAGCTGATAAGAGTATTTGTTTATGGAAAAGAGATGATCATTATAATTTTAAAGATGGATTAAGAGGTGGGATTAGCAAAATTGGGGTGATTAGAGGGCATGATGGTCCAATTAAGTGTTTGCAAGTATCACCTAATTGTGTTGGAGGTGGATTTTTGTTGTATAGTGGAAGTCTTGATAAAAGTTTAAGAGTTTGGTGGGTTTCTAAGGATATTAGTGATGAAGATAAACATTGAATTTCATACAAGATTTCATCAATTTTAAATTTTTTTTGGGTGTTTAGTTTTGGTTGATTAAGAAGAGCATTGGTCATTAATTTTTGAGAATGTTCAATGCTTTACAAGTTGATTAATACATTATTTTTTTTATTTCATTGTTTGGTTCTTTGATGTATTCTTCTTGTATGGTTTGTATAAGGTGTGGAGTTTGTAATTGGTAGTTTGATTTGTAATTTTTTTATTTAAGGAGTTGTTGCATAGGATATATGATGACAAGAGTTTTGGTGTACACTATCCATTAGGAAATGTTAATAGTGATGGATAGTCTATTGTGTTGATGTGATGTATATGCTCATAAGTTGTCCATTATACTTTGTATTTCATTAGAGGTTGTAATGATTGTTATAATAAATGAAAATCCATTTTGTCTTGAATTAGTTGTTTTATTTTTATTTATTTATTTTTTTTTTATTATATTTTTTTCTTTAGATTTATTTGAACATACAGTTGACAGTGGAAATTGTCAAGACATATTTTTTAGATCACACTACAAAAATTGTTAACAAAGAGTGCAATTTGTTACATCTAAAGCAGACGAGTTTATTTATATCCCTTTGTTAGGTCAAATAAACATGGTAAATTGAGTTGTATTTTGAGTGGTTCAATAATAAAAACAATAATTAAGGCGGTGTCTTATTGAGAAGCAAGAAGCGCGAGAAGATGTCCTCTTTAAGTCCTCCCTAGCCAAAGGTTCATCTCGTCTTGGCAAGGTCCTTCCTATGTAGGGGTTCAAATCTTGTATTGGCCACTTATTTACAAAATATTTGAATATTATGCAAGTATTAGTTGTATTGATTATTTTTTTTCTAGCTATTCATTATGATTTATTTGAACAGTTGACAGTGGAAAATGTACACCTACATTTTTAAGTTCACACTACAACAATTGTTAACAAAGAGGGCAAGATAGATATCCCCTTGTTAGCTCAGGTTAAACAAACATGGCAAATAGAGTTGTGTTTTGAGTGGTTCAACATTAAAATAAATAAATAATAATAATAATAGTAATAATAATAATAATAATAATAATAATAATAATAATAATAATAATAATAATAATAAAGGTGGTGTCTTATTGAGAAGCAAAAAGGGCAAGAAGAGGTCCTCCTTAAATCCTCCTTGGCCAAAGGTTCATCTCGCCTTGTCAAGGTCCTCCCCAGGTTTGGGTTCAAATCTTGTATTGGCCACTTGTTTACAAAATATTTGAATGTTATTAGTTAGAGGAATTAGTGAATCACCAAA